GAACAAAGCAGTAACAGCTGTCAGGGCTAAGGAGGAAAACTCGCCTTGAGGGGGCCTAGCGTTTACTTCCTCCTACCAACCCAGAGGCTGCGCGGGCACGGGCACGCTGATTGACAGGACAGTACGACCCCAGGACGGTTGGCCGCGTGGGGGTCGGAGCGTCAACTGCTCAGCTCCCCTTGCTCCCCCGCCCCGCCCCGCCCCCCACGCCTTCCTCCCGGCCACTGGCGGGGAGATTCCACTACCAGTGCGGGCGAGGCCGGAGGCAGATGGATGCTGCTGACTGATGGGGGCGGCCGAGCGCGAGGGCGCTGAGTGAGGCCCACGCGGCTTCCCTCCCGGCCTTCAGGGTCCCGGCAGCTCACTCTGCTCCCGCCCGGGGGCGGGTGAGAAGGTCCAACCTCCGCCCGAGAGCAGGCGCGGGGTCCCAGAGCCTCCGCCCAGGCCGCCGTGGGCGCAAAGGTGGGGCCGGGGCCTGCGCTGCGGCCCGCAGGGGACTCTAGGCCCCGGTGCAGAGGCCGCGCCAATAGCAGGGATCTGCTCAGGGCTCGAGGCCGCAGGGTTTCCTTCCCACTTCAGATTGACCCTAAAGACAGATGTAACGTAGCGGGCGGCAGCTGTCCACACGGTCTGGAGGCTCAGGGCGCTTGGGACGCCGCGTGGAAGCCGGCCCCCAGGGGCGCCCGGGCCTCTGGCGCCCAGCTCGCTCCCCGCTCTGCACTCCTCAGTCCTGCTTCAGAAAGCCTGCCAGCCGCGGCCGCGGCCCGCTCCCTTCGCCTCCCCCCGCCCCGCGTCGGGCTCCGCTTTCCCTCCATCAACTCTAGGCCGAATTCAATCCGAGAAGGCTCCTTTGAGCTTTTGTGTTTGCTGGGGGAGATGTGGGCGCAGGAGGGATCGCGTTACAACTTTCATTTCCTGAAATGTTTGAGGGAACATCCAGAGTTTTTATCCCCCCATCAGGCCGGGCGATGGGTTCGGGTTTCAGGCCTTGTCACTCAGCTGTCACCAAACAAACGAAGCTCTCAGAGCCCTGGAGAGGGAGAGCTACCTGCTATTCATGACCCCTGGAGCAGGTGATCGCTCATGGGAAAAACAGGTAGAATTAATCATACGCTGTTCTCTGTTTCCTCTCTTTTTTGGCAGACCTGCCCACAGTGTGAAACCTGTCAGAAAACAAATTAACTCTTTCTTGTCCCCCAAGGGAACGAAAAATACATTTTCGGAAAGCTCACCACACACATTCACACCACATGACAAGAATGACATTTGGAGGAAACATCTTTATATCTGCTCCACTTGGCAGTTTCTTAGTTTGTGAGGTTCCCATCTTAGTGGGACTTGGAACCTAGGAACCAGTTCGAATGGGGCATCTTCGGGTCACCTGGTCCTATCTACTGAAAGGAAGCCCAAATGTGATCTCCAAACTTAGGTAGATCTGGACATCTTCCTGCCTGGGGTGTCAGTGGAGTTGGGATCCTAATAAAAGGAAAATATCTACTCTGACATGAGCATCTAAGAAATTTCTGTAAATGGGTGTTCCCCCCCACCCCCGAGATTCTTCCTTAAGTCAGCCTTGTTGACCATCCATATTGGGCTCTGTGTTGGACAATCAGAATGATTTCAAATTTTCCCATATTCATTTCCTTAGTTGAGTTAGCTGAACAAATGCACAAAGCAAACGTGTTCTTTGCTGTGAAGATACTGTTTACCTGCTATTCATTAAATATTACAAACACAAGTTTTAAATTACACTTTAAAAAAAATTCGTAATACATTTGTCCTATATCTCTGTCCCCACACTAGCAAATTTTTTTTAAAAAGAGGGAAAGAGGAAGTGCACACAGATTTGCTTCTAAGATATATTAATATTGGAAACTTTAACCAAGACAGCTTGGGAGTCTTAAATCAGGATGATTTTTAAAAAACAGAAACATCGTAAGGGGATTCCATTGTCATTCTGCCTTTTAGTCTTTCCATAAAAGTTTGTTGGGTTTTTTTGTTTTTTGGGTTTTTTTTGGTGAGAAATCAGGAGATATACTGTGTGTAAAAATAATCCTCCTGGCCTTCTTTATGAAGATTTTGTCTGTTTATTTTGAAAACAGCCATTGGTTCCAGATTCCCAGAACTTATTTTCTTAGATTAGCTATTTGTACTCAGAGGTAGAGCCCTGAGCAATATTATTCTTCAATTAAAATAAAGAACTTGACTTTAGGAGGAAGCAAGTTATGTTTATATAGCATCAGCAATGCATAGAAAATATTCACCACATATCTGAAGACAGACAAGGCTTCGATTGTTTAAATGTTCTGCTCACTTCATAGATACTAAGGCATGCTGTCCTATCTTAATTTTTTAAACTGTTACTTACTTTCATATTCTTGGCATCCTAGGTACAAAGCTAATGCTCCTTCATTAACTACCTCCTTGATTTTGATGTAAAATTTCCTTTTGCATGGTATGAAAGATTATGCCACCTCACCTTCAAAATGTGCATTTTCTGTAAATTTCTGTAAATTGCTGCTCCTCTGCACCAACCACACCAGTCCCCACCAGTACACACACACAAAGCTGCAAAAATTAAGGGGAACTTTGTGCTGCGTAGTGATGCTTATAGTTTAAAAATAATATCTGTTCGAGAGCCAACTAAATATGTCATAGCTATGTAGGTTTGATTTGGGTTTTTTGGTTTTTGTTTTTTCACAGCCCCTTTGCCTTTCCCTGGTATTTAGATCATTTGGATAACTGGCAATCCAGATTAGAACTGAAGTGCTGCAAAGCAGCTAAAGCCATGCCTTAAAGGCGTGAAGGAGAGGAGTTGAATTTGTTAAAATACTTAATAGAAGGTTAAAGACACCTAGAAAGTTGGTTTTACAGGCTTGCCGATTGGAAGCTGCAGATTTTTGTATCAGGGATGCCAACTGCCAGCTCTATGGAATGTTAAAGAACATTTCAAAGTTTTGGTTTTTTTAAAAAAAAATCTTAAGAAATATGTAGTCTGGGGTCTTTTTTTTTTTCCCCTTTAAGATGCCAAATGCATATCAGCTCAGGTCCTGAACTACCACTTCATCAATAAACTATGTATCTGTTATAAATAAGTCATGGCATTTTAAAAGTTATGATCAATTTAAAATCTTATTCTAAAATAAATTATGTAACAAATTAAAATAAATTTGCTTTGAGTTAATCCATCAGTGCTTCTATTTGGATCAGCCTATGTCAGTTCCATAAAAGATTTATCTTCTCAGTTAGGGAGGTTAGCGAGAGCAAGGGACCAGATGGAGAGAGCTGGTATACATTTCCATGTCTCCATCTTTCTTTCTACTTATCTGTCTTTTTAATGACAGCCATTAATGGAAGTGAAGGGAGAGCAGCCAATATCACCTAGTAGTATTTTAATTACAATTGGGTAGCCATTTCAGATACACTTAAGTGTGTGTTAAATCTGAAGTTAACTCTTTTCTCTTTCAAAGATAAGGTTGGGTTGCATTTTTTAGTTTTTTTAATTAGTTTTTCTTTCTGCATTCTCCTGTTGGATGGGGTTGGGGGGAGACGAATGCGATTTTAAGAATATTTTAATGTTATGCAAAGGAAAACAGTTAGTGGGCACTTTTGCAAAAGGGGAGGAGGACGACTCCCAGGTAGTGAAGCAATATAGGAGAGCAGACCTTAAGGTGTTCGTGCTCTGCCTGCTGAGAAGTAGGGTCTCAGCTGTCCATTAACAAGTTAAAAGAAGAGAAGCTGAAACTCAGAAGGGAAAGAGTCAGGCATACACCCGCGCCTCAAGCAGTCTCTTTCTCTTTGTTTTTAAATGCTACTGCAGTGTTGTTCCTCACTGTCTGAAAGGACCACAGCGCCGAAAACACTGATTGCCATCCTCAGTGGGAGAACAAGCTTCCAATTTCATCAGCTGGAACGAAGTTGTGTGTGTATACTCAGTTTAAAACACTAGAGAAAATGTGGCCTTCCAGGGCAGCACTTTTTCTGGGTCGAGGATAAGCCAACAATTCCCCCATGATTTTGACTTCTCTGTCCTGGCTGATTTAACCCATGTCTTCAGAGAACATCTGCCAGGTGTACTATCGGATTCAATCAGACTGGAGAGGAAGGGGAGGCAGGATCACTATGACCTTGAGGGCGCTCACAAGTCGCCACCTAAGAGCATACCTGAGGGCTAAGGGGCTGAGCCCTCGGGTACCCTTGGTGCGAATTGCCCCTGTGGGCTAAGTGGGCACAGACACTAGTGCTGCTGGCTTCGGGGTGGCTGGAGGAGGTAGCCTGGGAGAGTTTTTAGTCTACTGGGGAAAACCAGAGAAAGAAGAAATAGCGTAGAGGGAGCAGGTGGGCCATCAGCCACTTTCTTCACCTTAACCCTGACCCACCTGTTCCTGTCAACGCCACCTACCCCACTAAAGAAGGGCAGTGTGCGCGCCGTGACGGCCCAGCCCGAAGCACGCTGCGGACCTCGGCCTGCGCCTCCTTCCTGGGGCCCCGGAGGTGCGTGGGGAAAGGGCCTCGGCTCACCCCAGGGCCTCGGGCCAGGGCGGGAAAAGCCTGACCAGGCCCGGCTGGTCGATGAAGCCGAGCTGCCTCCTGGTCGTGCCCGAGACCCTAGAAACCCAGACCGCTCTCCTCGGCCATCGAAGGGGCGCCCTCTGTGACTGGCACCCTTCCGCCGAATGCGCGGGGGATGAGTGCAGACCCATGAGCCAAAACCCAGGCCACAGAAAGCAAAAGACACGGGCCATACGTGACGCGGGGAGGGCGGTGGGGCCTAGGCCACCTCCCGACCAAGCTCGGGGGCTTCAGTACGGCCGCCTTGGCGTCTGAGACCCAGGGGCGCTCCCACCTGCCACCCCGCCGGGGAGCCGTGAGCGGCCACGACCGCTTCCTCCTGCCATTCCCGGCCTGGTCCATCTCCTTCAGGAGTGGTTTCAGCGCCGCTTGGGGGTCTCGCCAGGAATTTAGCTCCTTGACTCAAAAGAGGAAGACCCGACGAGGGCTTAGGATGTGGCTCCGGGGTGCCCAAGGCCACGGCAGTCGCGTTGTCCCACGAAGCTCAGGCCGTGGCACCTCCTTGCAGCCTCTGCTTTCAGGGGCTCCGCGGGCCGCGCCACCAGGCCCCGTGCCTGGAGCTGCTGTGTTGCGACTCCCTCCTGGAATGTGGATGTGAGCGATCCTCGGTGCGGAGGTGAGGGGACCCCGCCCGGGTCTGGGGGCGGAGAGCTGCGGCGCCTCCACTCCCCGTCCCTCGGGAGGCAGAGGAGCAGGAGCAGCCTCCGGAGTCTGCGGGGTGGCAGGAGAAACCCCCCCCCCCCCGTTTCCTGCATCCTGAGACGCGCGGAATGGAAACCTCTGGCTCCCTAACCTGGAGTTCTGCCTGCAGACTTGAGCGAAGACCTCCAGGCGGCGGAGGCAAAAGGAGTGAAGCTCTTTCGGCCGCAGCTGTAGGCGCGGCTGCGGCGGCGGCGAGGCAGAGGAACAGCCGCTCGGTGCGCGGTCAGTGCCAGGGGCCCGACCGGCCCTCCGGGTGCGGGGGACAGCGGCCGGACAAGGGTCACTGCTCAGCGAATTCAGAGTTCGCCCATAAGTGCCAGTGCCGCTGCCTCTTCCTGGAAGCCTCCACTTCATCTCTGGGTCGAGACCGAGCTGTCTTTGCCTGGAGGATAATTCGGGGCCCCATCGGCGGCGTCTGGTTCTCATGGGGCTTGGGGGCTCTTGAGTCCCTGTCTGCTAAGACAAAATTCAGGAACCGCCGGCCAAGCCCTCGGGCCTCTCGAGTATTTAAAAAAGAAGCTTCGTTCTCAGCCAAGAGGTCAAGGCGAAGAGGCAACCGGGACCCGAAGTATCCTGTGTTCAGATTTAAAATATCCAAAAATTGAAAATCGCCCCAATATAGCATTACTTTATTTTACTCGGTAAAATTCTGTAAGTTTTCGTTCTAAAAACTATCTAGAAATCATTGTTTATTACTTTTGGCTCTCTTTACAAAATCTGTAAAGGAGAAATCAGAAAGTGGCTTTTGATTCAGTTAAACCGAGAAGACGAGAAGGTAAATTGGAGGTCCCTTGACAGCTGGTCCTTGAAGATTTCCTCGAGGAAAAAAAGAAATATGGTTAGTTCCCCCCCCCAATGATTGCTCTAAAATGATTGCCAAGAAAACTCAAGGTAACATCCAGCTTTCTCACCTCCTCCTGCTCGTCCCCGGTTTAGCCAGACCGAGAGGAGGATGGTGAGGGAGGCACATTGTGCAATTTCTTATTAAACACATCTGGAATATGTGCACTCTGGATCGAATGCCAGGGATTTTACAAAGAGTTTATGACTGTGAGAGAAAATTGTCCTTTTAACGAGTTTACAAGTAGTAATCACAGGGGCTTTTACAGGACCGGCCGGCCTGCTCTGCTCCTTGCCAGATCTGCAGACATTTCCAAGATTCACCAACCAAGGCAGCAGGAAGTGGGCCGAGGCACCCAGGGAGACAGAACTTCCCTGAGTCTAAAATTATACTCAGCAGAGCTGGAAGAGTGGGGGGTAGTCATCAGAGTAGAAGGAGAGGGCTTGTAAGAAATTAAAGTAATTGGCCCTTCCTATTTTCCAGGGAGATTTCCGCGGTGTCCTTTGAAGCCTGTCAGGGTCATTGAAAGCTATCTTTGTGCTGGGTGTTTGTTTTGGGCAGTGAATGTGAAGAATGCGAGGAGATCCCCTGTGAGAGCCCCTCCTGCAGAGGGTGGCATTTCTCCGTGGCCCAAGACATGGAGAATAAACACCCTAGTGACTTAAATAAACACCAACTTAATGATCCAAAACACTAACAAGGGAGATTGGGACTCTGAGCTCCCAATGCAAAGGATGGTCTCTGAGCAGCTGTGTGAACATCTGTCCATCACTGAGGGGAAAAATGACTTTATAAGTAAAAGTGACTACAGTTAAGTACAGTGATCCTTTCTCCCTGGAACTCAGTCAAAGCCATTTGGCATTAAAAAATAGTAAGAAGAAGGCCTTAATATCCCTACCCCCACTTATAGATCAGGACAGGAAAGATAGGAAAGAGTAAGAAAGAAATGAACATACTAATGGTGACACAGATGGAGAAAAATCAAAATTATGAAACTGTCATGTCATAAAATAAATAGACTTCCTCTGGGGAGCAATATTTTACAAAGCACAAACAAGCCAATCCTGTTATCCTGAGTAGAGTTTTAATAAATAATGCCATTTGTTTCACTAATTTTAAAAGCTAAATACAAGGTACATCATTTTTGCCCCAGGCAAAAATAATATGGAGCCTACATGATTACTGGGATTTTTTTCTGGACACCATCCGGCAGCACTGCAAAGAGCTCCTGTCCTGTCGGTCTGCTTTCTATTTGTACAGATTAATTCACAATGTTGCTATCCTTGTACGAGCTCCCTTTTGTTCTCCAAGCAGATAAATTATTTTACTTTCACAGTCTTGTCATAAATTTGTTAATAATACAAAAGACCTAACATATGAATTCTGTGGAGAAAAGCTGGTGGTAAACAAAACTGCATATCTAAGTAATAAAAAATAAATAAATACACCAAATTTGAATTCGCTCTTTTTCTGTCATATAATTAACTCAGTCACCATTCTTGGTTTAGGGGATGGCCTTCAACGTACCCTGCAATTCATAACCACCAGTAAGTAATAAAGAAAAAAAACCCCTATTTTTTAAAAAAGGGGGGGACCCAATGACAGCAGTACACAACTCACCTTTCAGAAACAGAATCAGTACTCCTGGTGTTCTACTAAGTTTTAATTTAGACTGGTTTAGGTACAATGGAAAAGAAACCTGCAAACACATGCTGTTTTAGTAACAAATACCAGGTAGCCAGATTTGTTACGTATTTTTGCAAGCTAGAAACTAGGAATAGGAGAAACCCTTAACAGGAGTAGGCTACAAATATGAGAGCTTCAAGGGCATGAGAAGTAATGGCATTCAGGAAAGTGTTTTTTCACATTGGTACATTTTTTAAAGTTTGCCATAAAAAAACCCAAGAAAACAAACAACAACCAAAAAACCCCACTAAATTTGACAAAAATAGTTGTGTTACTAATGGTCACTTCTATTTCTAACTGCCTCACATAGAGAGCATTAAGACATTTAGGCACTTCTTTTTTCCCCCCTAATACTGTTCTTTCCTTTTAATCTACATAAAATTATTTAACACTAAATATGAAAAATGTAAACTTAATTTTCCCCATCAAAAAAGGTATAAGATCATATTTTTCCTATTCACCTTAAGAATGCAACCAGTTCCTCTCAGGCTGGAGGATCTTTTCACTGTTTTAACTTCCCTCTCTCTCTCATTTTCATTTCCTTTTCCGCTTCTCAAAACATTTTCCATAAATAAATTAAGATGAAATAATTAAAATCCAGTTGATCTGTAATTCCATTCACTGAAAAAAAAAAAAGAAAAAGAAATGAAAAAGGAAGCCTACTGAAGCAGGAACACGGGTTGCCCAGAACCAAGGCTGGGTAACTGGATGTTTTTGTTTGTTTGGGTTTTTTTTTTTTTTTCTTTCCCTGTTCTCCAAACTGGGAGGGGAAATGTAGAAGTGGAAAGAGTCGGAGAGAAGAGGGCACTACGTTTGAGATCACTGTTGGTTTTGATTTTTAAAAAGATATTTGTGAAAGTCCACCATTCCTTTATGCGCAAAGAACCCCAGAAACAAGCTGCAAAAAGTGTTCCTGATGTCTATTTACAAGTGTCCCTAGTTGCTGCTTCGAGGCCCCAGTCCCTCCCTTCTTAGGACCCCAAGTCCACCAAACTGGAGGTGAGGGGGCCCAGCAGGGAGTCCTGGAGCTGATGCTGGTGGGCTTGCAGGCTGTGCGCTGACTGTGAGGCTGTTAAACCCGGGAGAGAATAGTTGGAGCTCCTGGTGTGGCCCATGTTGCCCTGCAGCAGAAGGACCGAGTTCTGGTCTGGACTCTGGGGAGGTGAGAACTCTTCTTCTGAGCTGGACATGAGTGGCTTGCCCCCTTCCAGAGGAGAGAGCTGATTCTGCTTGTTGGAGGAGGAGTTATTGTTTTCCGTGTTCTCCCTAAGAAACAGAGGACAACACCATATGGTTTAAAAAAAAAAAAGTGTGAGATGGAGGGAGGGGAGCTGGAAGAAGGAAAGGGCCATTGTGCAATCAGTCACTGACCCAAATGGAGTTCTGCCCTCTCACCCACCCCACACAGTCCTGGGGGAAAGAGAGGAGGCCTAAGAGACTTGAGAAGGGTGATGCTGGGTCCTTTCCTCTTCCAGAATTTGGAAAGTCAAATCAGCAGGGCTGATTTGAAACGCACAAAAATTATTTTTAAATTTTTGTTCTAACAGTTATTATTAAATACCTATCAAGGCGTGAGTACCACATTTAGAAGTAAAGAAATCGGAAAATCTTCCAACAAATGGTAGTTGGTGATGAAGAAAATGACGGGGGGTGGGGTCCAACAGCGCCCAGTGCACAGATGTTTGGTGGTGAATCAAGTCAATTGTCCCGTTCCCATCTGAGGAAACAATTAACCATCGAGTTTCCCTGCCGCTGCCTGGAGGTTGTGGTTTCAGAGGCACAGGACAGGTCATGGGAAGTGGTGTCCAGAGCGGCCCAGTGACCTGAGTAAACACAGGGAGCGCAGCCAGTCTCTCCGATTTCATCAGGGAGTGGGCCCTCTGGCCTGGCTTAAAGGACGGCCGTTTTGTAACAGACGTCTAAATGGAACTGTACTGTCCCTGGCCCGGTGTTATTCGCTCAGTCCTCAGTGCCTCACGGTGCTCTTTCAAACTCCCTGCGGACACCCACACCGGCGCACCCTTTCCCGGCAGGGGAGCGTCAAGACCCGGCACAGCCTGAGCGGGTGTGATGTACCGGGATGTCAGCCTGGGCGCTCGGCGCTGGTAAACTGTAAGGTCTCGAAGCCCTCGCGCTTCTGCCTCCAGAATGCTCCCACCCCGGAGCTGCCTGTCTCTCCAACTCTCCCCATCTCTCGCAGTCTCTCTCTCCCAAAATGCCCATCTCAGCTGAATTTCTCCAGACTCTTGCTTCCCAGAGGGAAACAAGGCGGCGACTTCTTCGGCCCCCAGGCTCCGAAGCAAACAAAAGAAACTCGGCCGACTCGGGCGTTCAGGTTTCCCCTAAACTGCTCAGCTCCCCGGAGCGCTCTCCCCGCCGCCGCCGCCGCCGCCGCCTCCCCAAGGCTCTTCCGAATCTCGGTCGGAAACTCTAGAGCACAAGAGTGGAGCCGGGCCAGGTGGCCAGGGGTGTTCGCAAGAGGAGGGGGGAGGCAGAGACAGGTTGGAAAAAAAATGTTGGCTTCTGTGTTCTGGGGTGAGAGAAGTCTGAAACTGGAGACCTATTCCTCGCCCGGGTGAGCGGCGCAGACAGCGGGCCGGACCCGCCGCGGCGCCCGGCCACGCGCGAGGGAGCCGACGACGAGCTATCAGTTCTGGGCTTGGGGCGCCGGGGAGTCAACGCAGCGCCAACCCTCCCAAAGCGCTCTCTTCTGTGGACTTCTTTCGAAAGACTCCTCCCTTTGTGCAACTTAGTGAGGATGGAAGCGACCTCTCACCCAAAAGACTGCCAGGAAAGCGCGACTAAAGGACCGGGCGGGAGTGGAAACAGCAGAAGTTTCAGGCCAGCTCCACCTTTCCGGGGTGCGAGAGGAGAGAGGTTCGAGACCCTCAGCCCCCACTGAACCCCTCCCCCCGCGATACCAATCACCATTTCCCTTCTGCTTGATCTAAAAACGCACTCTCCACCCGCCACTCCTCTCCCCCTAGCCAGCCAAGAAGACATGAAAAACAAACCTAGCGCCAACGTTTCCCGACACTCACATCCCAGGAAATCCACGCGCGGACACTCAAATCAGATGAACACCGCCCTACACCCTCCCATCCCTAGCAAGCGATCTCAGAGTTCATGAACTTTCGCCGCAGTGCCGCGGAGGCCGGGGCGCCGCCCCGCGGAGCGGCTCGGGCCAGAGGGGTGATCGAGGTGGTTGGTGCCTGCGGGGGTGGAAAGGGGCGGAGGGGAAAGGAAGCCTTCCCAGGGTTGCCCGATCTGCGGGAATGATGCCGCGTACCTTTCCTTGGCCTCGGCGGCCCGGTCTCTTTGCCTCCGGTTCTTAAACCAGTTGCTGACCTGGGTGGTGGTGAGACCGGTGGCCTCGGCCAGCTCTCGCTTCTCACGCGGCGAGGGGTAGGGGTTATGCGCGTACCACTCCCGCAGCACGCCCCGCGACTTCTCCTTGAAGCAATAACTGGTCTCCTCGCCGTCCCAGATGGTTCGTGGCAAAGGGAATTTTCGGCGCACCCGATATTTGCCCACCGCGCCCAGGGGCCGGCCGCGTAACTTCTCGGCTTCCACGTAGTGAGCCTTCAGCCACAGTTGTTGCAGCTTGGGGTGATTGTGAGGCGAGAACTGGTGGCTCTCCAAAATCTTGTAGAGCTCGCGGAAGTTGCCGCGGTGGAAGGCGACCACGGCCTTGGCCTTGAGCACGCTTTCATTCTTGTGCAGGTGGTCGCAGGCGGGCAGCGACCACAGGAACCTGCCCAGGCGCTCCAGGTTCCCGCCTTGCTGCAGAACCTCGCACACGCACGCCACTTGCTCCTGTGTGAAGCCGAACGATGGCAGCATCGACATGGCTGGGGCCTGCCGGGGCGCACTACCCGGGCGCACGCGGCAGGGAGCAAAGCCGAAAAAGCTGGGGGAGGCAGCCGCAGGGAGGGGGGCACGGCAGCTTCTAACCCCCTCCCTAGGCTGTGCGAAGGCGTAAAAGCGAGTCGAGACTTGAAGACGGGCGGCCGAGTAAGTGGAGGAGGAGTAGAGCGCGCGCTGGAAAAGGAACGGCCGGCTCCCTCCGCAGCTTTTCGGGCCTCGCTGGCTCCTGCCTCTGGCCGGGTGGATGCTGCTCGTTGCCGGGGAACTTGGTTTCTGTTCTCCCTGCAGCTGCCTTAAAGCGCGCAGCGTCTTCGGCGCGCTGATTGGCTGCGGGCGGCGCCTATCCGGGGCTGGCCAGCCCGCGCGCCGCCCGGCCGGGCCGCGAGGCCGCGCCGCCCCGCGCGGGGAGGGCGAGGCGGTACAGCGAGGGATAGGGAGTGGAGGGAGGAGAGGGACCGCGAGTGGTGGGAAGCGAAGTGGGGAGGAGGGAGGGAGCGGTGCTTCCCGGGGACTGGGGGCGGTGGGAGTGGGTGAGCGCGTCAGGACCTTGCAACATGAGCCCCCTCTGCTGTGTCACCTAAGGGCAGCCGCGCACATCTTTGCACAAATCAATGGCTCCAGACTTTCTAATTCCCCTCCTCTCCCTCCGTACCTCTGTCCCTGTCCTTTGCAGACTTGCCATTTCCCGGTGAGCTCATATTTAATTACCTTAATGTTGGAATGAATAAGTAATGGATTGATGAATAGCTTATGGAACGCGATAAATAATACAAGAGTAGACCAGTCCTCCAGGCTGCAGTCGCTGCAAGAATGGCTTCTCTCCTGGCTGACTTCAGCTCCAGGAGCCAAACCTAATTTCCTCCCCTCTTCTCTCCTGCCCCCACCGCCCTCCAAAGCGCACAAATACTCCCAGCTGTATAGCGCTTCCCTCATTCTCAAAAGGCCGCGACTATTTGGGACCAAGAGAAGAGTTGTGTAGAGCATAGTTGCTGAGCAAATAGAGGTTCCAAGGGTTCATTTGCGATTCGGAATTTTAATGATCTGTGGTTTAAGTCGGCCGGCAGGCTTCTGGACTCGGTTTCCCTATCTGTGCGGTTGCCACCTCTGCTACTGAGGAATACTGAGAAGCTTTACTTGCTATTAGCAGAAATGCTTTGGGAACATCGCACGAAAGGCGCTGGATGGGGTGTAAATTAAATAACACTGTGTCCGGCTCCAATAGCCATTCGGTTGTAACATAATATTGCCCTGGTCTTTGAGGGACACTGCCCTCAAAGCGAGGACGACCGCGGCTCCAAGAAGATTAAATAGAGGGGTGTGTGTGTGTGTGTGTGTGCATGTGCGTGCGTGTGTGTGTGTGCACGCGTGTGTAGATTGCAGTGCTGGCCTATTTTACTGCTAGGGACAGAGAGATGTCTTGCAATTTCAGTCCCATCATCTGTTATTTCGTGTATGTGTGGAGAATGCTTAGTAAAACTACACAAACAAATGGGGCTGTAATTATCTTAAGCCTCATTTGCACACCTTGTTGCAAAGCAATTATTAAAAAGATTTTGAAAACAATTAGCGTCTCTAAATAGAGATAATCTATTGTCAGTAGCTGAGACTGGCAGGAGATAAGAACAATGCATGGAGATAAGGGGAGCCAAAGGGTAGAAGGAGAGTGACTTTATGACTATACTTATCTCTGATTAGATAAGTTCAAAACAGAATTTTAAGTATACTTCAAAAATGCTTTTGATTTAAATGCGTCCTCTTAGTAAATGAGGAACAAACTCTAGGTTCTTTAAGTTTGCTTTTCTTCTTTAAATATGTTTTGTTCCATCAACAAGAGCATAGAATCACAGAACCATTTACATATTGAGACATAAGTGGGAATGGAAGAAGGAGAAGCACTGTGTGGGTTTCCCCTTGTATTATTTAGATGGTTTTAAAACAATGCACCCATTCCAATGCACCCTGCAATGTACATCTAAAGTCATGAAGGGTTTCCACACCCTACCCACCCCCATCTGTGTCTCCGGAGACTGAGTAGACACCAAGCTGCTGCTCCGCTGAACTCCCAAACAAAGCTTTCTGCATCTTTGAAACCTTGAAACCCTTCAGTATCCTAGGCAATTAGAACTTGGAAGCAAATGCTGATATTTCATTATGTTTGGGATTATCTTTAAGTGCATTTAATGGGTGCATATTATTTCAAGAGAACCCCTACCACATGGTGTGCCGAATGACTTACTTTCTAAACTGGAAACCTGGCAAAGCTGAGTCCAAGCCCATGTGTCTGGTAATTTTCCCTCATGGTCTTATTTTAGTGCTCATGATGTTTCATATGAAGTCTTGAAGAGCTGCAGTGTCCTGCCAGAAGGAATGTCTCTGCTTGGAACAGTCCTTATTGACATGGCAGCTGTGTGCGGACTGGAAGGGGGGTTTAAACTCGGCTCTAAAAAATCAGTTAATACCCTAAAGTCTGGAGCAAGTGCGCAGAATTACAATGTGTGTGTGTGTGTGTGTGTGCTGGGGGGGGGGACAGGGGGAGTCTGTAAATATAACCACGTCTCTTAAAAGACAAAGGGTAAGTTGAGTATGGGATGTACTTTGTAATTAACAATTTTGTATAAGGAAATGAGGCACAGCTTGGACAAATAAGGGCAGGTATAGATTTACAGGGAGCAGAGAGATGACAATTAGACACCCACCACCTTCCCCGCCCCCCACCCCCCCTCCCCCGGTTTCCTCCAGACCTCCCTGCCCACTTCTTTTCATCTCTCTTCAAAAGGAATCAAGACGCACTAGACGGTGGCGACAACTGGGAAGACGACTGTGCAGATGCGGCGATTGCGGGCACTGGGGTTGATAAGAAGGGGTGCTCGTCCTTGGAGGCCATGCCCTGGCCGCCAGCCTTTCTCTCCTAGTGTTCAGTCCAGTAGATCGCACAATTAGAAAGGAAATGTGCTATTCGCTTTGTACCAACGAGCCTACCTGCTATTTCGATCCCTCAGTTAGGGAAACCAATTTTTATAAATGTTAATTATTGGCTCGGATATATAAGGTTTCCCAAAATGGAACCTTTCACTGCAAACCACTAAAAGAGGTAAAATGACATGAATTTACAAACCACATAAACCAAACGATCCATTTTAAATCGCACACAGAAAGGTTTGAGTTGTTCTAGTAACTTAAAACCTTTTGCTGTCAATGCAAATCACAAAAAAACAGAGATTTGTCGGAGGTTTAAAGGCAACGAGCAGCACGAGCTGCTGCCCTCGCTGCTTCGTGGGTCCCTAGGGTAACACAGCTAGAAAGGGGCTCCCAACACTAGGTTTCTGCTCTTCTGTGCCTCCTCCGTGCAGGTAACCGCCGGGTGCACACAACTGGTCTGTGGAAAGGTCGATGCGGAGGCATCAGTTGGTGTTGGGGTTTCTCGGTCGGGTTAACACAAGGCCTTGTGTCCTCTGGCTGAGACCCACTTATTTCCCTTCTGGCTTGGAGCGAGCTGCCTGGAGGCTCCTGGCCCGCTTTCTTGGAATTCTTTTGCGATCAAGAACGTCAGCGAGGATTCTATTCTACCTACAGATATTTGAAAGGGACGGGCTTTGGAAGGTGTTTCATCAATGAATTAGCGTCGTCGCTCTGGGGCAGTGAGGATCTCAAATCCTGGCTGAAGTGACAACGTTCATCTTTTTCCTTTACTTGGTCGGAAACTCCAGGTGCCCTCGACCCCTCCAGATGCCGGGCTCCGAGGACGGCGAGGCGCCGGAGCAGCCTCCCACCTGCCTCCTGGGGGACACTGCTCCCCGCGAGTTCTGGATAGGCCGAGGGCTCAGGCAGGGCGATGTGCGGACCCGAAGGAGAGAAATCCAAAACCAGTCCATTAGTAAATGAGTTTTGTGTTGTCAAGGTTCTTTCCCATCCACTTGCTGCTCTGAAAAATAGATCACGTTTCGTTATCTTTAGTGGGAATCTGCAACGTGACACCGGATCCGCGCGGCCCCCGCCTCTCTCCCTCCCTTCCTTCCAGCCTCGCTTGGCCGGGCCAAGGGGAGCCGGGCGGCCTCCTTGGCTTATTTCTGAACAATGAAGATTTGTCTGTTCCCCTAATATATTTATGTATGTATGTATGGAGGGAAGTTTTCTCCTGGAAGCGGGAAGCGCGCGACCAGAGCCTCTCGCTTCCTTGGTGCGAAAACGCAGCGCCAGCCCAAGACGCCGGGAGACTGCCGTTCCCCGCCCACACCTGGACAAACAGAGCCGGCAGCGATCCCGGCTTGCCGCTAAAAACCCTGCCGCCCCGCGCGGCTCCTGAAAATACAGTCTCCACATTGTCTCGGGGTCGGGGAAGGGAGAGAGGAAAGAGAAGAACCGGCAGAGACACACCGCCGCGAGGGAACCACAGTGAATGGGGACAGTGCTGGAGTGGGTGTGCGTGTGTTTGGGGAAGTTACCCTCTCCCTCCGTGTGCGTCTCCAGGTTTGGTCTCTTTCTACTCATTCTCTCTTTCAGCCTGAAAGAGGAAGCTCATTCATTCTCTGTGTGAACCTCTGATTCCTTCCTTCTCTTTTACTGTCTCGTATCTCCATCTCACCCTCTGTCCGTTTCGTTCCCTCACTGTCTTCTCCTTCGCGATTCTCTCTCACACTCTCTCTGTCCAACACCCCGCCCCCACCCCACACACACCCTCTCTTCTCTCTCTGGATCCCTCTATTTCTCTTTTGCTTTCTTCTCTCTTTTTCTCTCTCCTTCCTCAAAGCTCTTGACGCCTGCGCCTGCTTCCCCAGGACCAGGCGCTGTGAGGTCTCACAGACCATGCTGTGCTGATATCCTGCACCCAGGCAGTGCATGGTGAGTAGACTCTGAAGTCCTGGCAGGGGCATCTGGCTCAGTTGGTAGGGACCCACCACACGGAGTGGTGGTGTAGTCAACAGATGGGGGTGCCCATGAAGGACTGAAGAAGGTGGGTTGGCCACCTGGGGGCAAAGGGCAGATTTAAGCTGCTCTCTGAGAAGGCATAGGCCCAGAGACTTGCCAACCACCAGATTTGAGTCAGAAGACACCATTCAACATTAGATGCCAAGCACCTTTCTGGAATGTGAAGGACAGTGTTGTGAGAATCTGTTCTTAAGAGCCTAAGATGTTCTTGCCTCCTTTGCTTTATTAATATTACCTCAGGGCAAGACTCCTTATCTTCCATTGAGTTTCCAATCAACTTTTTTTTTGGTCAACTAATGTACATCCTGAATACTGCATCTGTCTAAGCTAAGAAGAATTTCCTTTTGGGAGGTGAAAGCCTGCAGTTACTACTGTTCAGAGGAAAGTGCTAGTGATGGTAATGCAGGGTGACACTAAATAAACAGTTAGGGTGGACTGGAAAGATGGAGTTAATTATCCAGTGAGCTGCGTTTCAGCCCAGACCATCAGGGGCTGATTTGTTTTGGCTCATGGTCCAAGGAAGGAGACAAGCCACTCTTCTCTACATCTCTTAGGGATCCTGATCGATCCTGTCTCAAACAAAACAAAAATCACTACCCAGGTATCACTGTTTCAATTAAAATTTAGTGTATTACTCCTCTGCAGATTCTACAAAAATGTCCACTCCATTGCCCTCTCTCTCGAGAGAGAGAAGACCCCAAATGACTCACAAATAGATTCTCTAAATCTTTTTGTAGAGACCCATTGGTAGGAAGTGAACATTCAGCACTCCCACCCCACCCCCCCATCTCTTCACTTACATTTTTACAACAGGCTTATAAAACTATGTGTTTATAAAAACCGAGATCTTAGTCTGGTTTTCACGATGATTCCCCGCCTCTCCCCCCCAAAAAAAATCAGGCTTCGTGAAATTTTAGATGCAATTAGATTTATTGTTTTCGTGATTCACTGACTATTCGGTTTCCTCAGGTAAGCCGGCACTTATATATAAATCCTAGTAACTTAAAACTTCTCCCTCCCCACTTTGCTTTTCCCTCCCTGCCTTTGCCCACCTCCCCTCCCCGCCACATTCTGATATTAATAATCCCCGGCTGCCCCTCTTTCCGGGTCAATACGGTACTGCTGGTCTCTAATCAATCCTAATGCGATGGCAATTGGAGTCCCTGATGACTGCGGCTCGGGTTTCTTGTAATGGCTCTACCACATTTTCCTGGACCTCCTTCTTTAACCTGAGATGCCAGGGGGACGAGTCCCTTCTCGGCTGCTGATTACTTCAAGATGTGGGGGCTGGTTTGCGCAGAAAGGGAATGAGACACGCGCACAGCGTGGCTACCACTGCAGGCTGGGCCGCTGGGGCGAGCAAGGCGTCTGCGCGTTGGGAACCGGCACCCGAATGCCTTTGGCTACTTTGTTTTCTCCCCATTTTCCAGGCCCAAACTCACCCTGGTGGACCGAGATGAAGATTCTCAGAGGTTTTCTGTATTTGTTTTTCCCCCCTCTGGTGCGGAGACGCCTCATGGCCTCTCCAGTTCTCGCAGGTTCCCACCCTACAGCGTGCGCCAGGACTCCCGGGCCAGGCGTGCCTCTCGCTCAGGAGGGAACGCCTCGCTCCGGTTCTTCTTTCCTTGTGGCTGTCTTCTCCCAGTGCCATTCTCCCGCTCCAATTTTAGAGCAGTTGTCCTGAAGCGGAGCTGGATTCTTCTTCATCTCTCCCTCTGACCCTTGACCTCTCTTCCCTTTTTTATCCCAGCAATGCCTGAAGCTCCCAACCGCTTCCTGACCCAAAGCCGAGGCCAGAAGCTTGGCCCTGTCTTGTCGGGATTTGACCCTATCTCTTACGATCCATGAAGGAGACCATCGCTCTGAATCCTTAAGCTCTAGGAATAAAGCCCAACAATTCTTGCCGGTTGGTGCCCTTGGGAGAGAGAACCAAGAGCGGGAACTTGCGCCGTACCTCCCTCTCCCTGGCGGATGTCTTCCAGCTCGTCTCCCTACCCCTATCCAGGCCCGGCAGAAAAGCAATCAGCACGTTCGCGGCATTTGTATTCTTCCATTTCTCAGCCCAAAGCCATTTAGCGTAACCCGAGCCCAGGATAATTGCCACGTTTCTGCCGCGATACTTTAAAAAACAAGATAATGCTTCTGAATTGCGGAAGAAAGTGCTGTGGACAAATTGGGCGCTGAGCTGCCGAGAAGGTTCGCTTTGTTAGGGGCGGCCGGTGGTTTGTGACTAGATTAGTTCATTTCTGGGAGCCGCCTGCGCTCTGCAGCGGGGTGAGCCTGAAGCGAACTGTGGGGAGGTCTAGGGGAGCACTTCAGGCCTCTATGTCGGTGCAAATCCACACCGTGGAAAATGTTTCTGCATTCCCATACGAGTACATTGTTTGGGTTCTAAAGGAACCAAATTGTCGCGGACAGAGAAGCTTGACTGCTTCTGCTCCCGAATGGGCCGCGAGCATGTCTGAAGTCCAGTCCTCTGAGCGGCAGAGAAGGAAATACTGGGTGGAGGGTGCCCACTCACGCATGCCCCTCCGCGCCTCTCGCCCACTGGGGCTGGGCTTGGATTTTGCAACCATTTCCAACACCGCTGCTGTACTTGGAGCAGCCCTGCTGGAAGCCGGCAGGGTGAGGCTTCCAGGCAGCCGGGGGGCCGCGAGGGGCGCCTTTAGGGCTGGGAACAAGGCTGTGGGAGCTTTTCTTACCTCAGGTTCACCCGCCACCCCCACCCATCACCCCGCGTGCAGGCCCGCGTCCGCGTTTCGCCGGCCCATCCCGGGTCCGGGGTAGGCTTCTCCGCCAGGTGTGCGCCGGGGCCCGGGAGCCTTTGCAGCGCAGCGTACTCGCAGCCCCGCCCGCGGGCCCGCGGTGCCCAGTCTGGGGGAGCCGGGCTAACCCCCGCCCCGCCACCAGGAACCCCTCCCCGGGACCACGCTCGAGTGCTGTGTCTGCGCTGGGGGGCGGCTCCGCCCAGTTCTGCAGCGAGGGGTCCGGCGTTCCGGCCAGACCAGAGGTCCGAACATGAGAAGACTTCGGACTCCGCCGCTCTCTCGGGCTGTTCCCCGAAGTGATTCTGGGAGCCTAGAGGCATAGGGGCTTAAGGAAGGAAGGGACAGGGCCGGGGAGGGCGGGGGCGAGAAGGACGCGAGGGCAGGTCAACGGAGCTGGGATGGGGCGCAGCCCAGCGGCGGGCACGGCCGGAGGAGAGAGAGGGCGCTGTCTTCCTGGCAAAGGATCCTCGGCCTGGCCGGCAGGAACTGAAACGGGGTGGGGGGGGGTGGGGGGCGGGGAGGAAGAAAGAAAAGCACCGGAAAGGAAATCTGCCTAGTCGAGCCCGGGGCGGGGGAGGGAGGTGGTGAGGGACGCGCTGTGGGGAGGGCCTAGGGTGGCCGAGCTGATTCTCAGCCCACAGCCCAGCAACCGCTTCTCCTGCTGCGGCCTTGCTAGCGCCGCGTGGCCCTGAGCGAGACTCTTCTTCGGCCCTAAAGGGCCCCCCCCCCCCCCAGTTGGCTTCCCTCCCTCGCTTTCTCCTTTGGAAAACTGGAGGCATCGGAATAAGGTATGCAACGCTTCACTGGCGATTGAGGTGCCGCGATGTAGCCAAGGCAAGCCAGGGCTGGGAGAGAACCCGGATCTCCTTTGCCTGACCGGAGCCGGCTTTTCAGTTTTTTGTTTTGTTTTGTTTTTTCAATTTTCAGGAGCCCGCGGAGGAAAACCGCAACGCCAACCAGGCCTTCACGTCGAATCGCCGCAGCAAGTGGCCTCACCTGGTTTGGCTGCGTCTTGCCGAGGAACAAAGAGGAGTTGGAAGGCCCTCTTATTTTCATCGACTGGCCTGGGTGCAGGAAAACCAAAGAGGTTTTGGCCCCTGGAAACCAAAGGGTCCCAAGGACAATTACTGTCAGCCATTCCCCCACTCAAACCCAGGAAACTTAATTTACACTACTTCAGGAGAAATTCCTATATCATCTACAAATGATGTGTTGTCTTTCCATGCTCATAACAAACCAGTCGAAGCAAAACAAAAGGATCTCAAACTTACTCATCTTCAGTCTTGAAAGGTCCCTCTGTGTTAATGGATGTAATTAAAGGCCTTCTAAGGTTGCTGATAGATACTAGAACCGAGCATCTCCTTACATGTCCGCCATCGGAGAGTCCCAAGCTCCAGTCGTTACGTGAATTTCCGGACTCTTCCATAGCCCTTCCGGTAGAATCCAGGTGGCCCCATAGTTCTGCCTTTAGCAAGAGAGCTATTTCCTAGGAGTAACTGGGTGGGCTGCAACCCGCCTGCCTCTTCACGTTGAGAAAAGCTTCTCTTGTGGGAAGGTCTGTTTCTATTCATCCGATTTTCTAATGTCTTTGATCAGCCTAAATATTTTCTTGGCAAACGGAAATTGACCATGCCATGAATATGATAACAACCTGCTTGGAAAGAAGCTATTTTGTTTCGAAGCGGCAAGCGGGGGGTGGGGGTGGGGGGAGCCAGGGAAGGGAGTGGGGGTCGGGTAACTAGCTGGCTGGTGAGAATGCCTGAAATAGATTCCTGAACATACATCTTTTGCAGTCTCTGAAGCAGCTTTTTGAAAGATAGTCAGATAAACACACACCTGGTCTCCTAAAAGTCTTTGATACACTTTATATTTAAAAAAACAGAACTTCAATGGACGCCTCTGGAGAATTTCCCTTTAAAACATAGATGAAAGGCAAGGTTAATACAATGTTCTCTTAATCCCTTTGGCTTGTGAGTCAAAATAAATATTTTCTTCTGCATGTGATTGTACATCCTGCCATTTGGCTGTGGCTATAAGCAAATCGACCGGTAATAAAAGTGTTTTGAGGTTGTGTATTAAATGCAGTTCTCTTGAAATCAAGGGTTGGGGGCAGGGAGGGGCCTTACTTCACAGGCAAGAGTTGGTGGGTTTCTGAAAAAGCTGCAAGAAAAAGACCTTTCACCTCTCATTAGTGATGCCATCAGTGCTCAGGCAGAGTGGAGCTGAGGTCATGTTACATATGGCACACAGTCTGCTCAGCACTTGAAACGTCAGCTTTGAAATTTTAGAGAGGGGAAAGGTCATCTTTAATAAGCTAAAGTCTGGGGCTCCCATTGCCCTCTTTGCAAACTGGGTGGGTTTCCATATGCTTCAAACCTTCTGCACAAGTTTTGTTGTTGTTTTTAGTTTGCAGTTTTAAGCTGATTTTTTGTTTCACATCTTCATTTAAGCTGTAATGTTTTCAGCTGTTAATACACCAAAAGGCCTTTCATTTTTATAGCAACTCTGTCATCTTTCCTTTTCTTCTCATGCAGTCATAAAACTGTCTGTTCTGAGTAATAGCTTTTTAGAACTGAGCTTCCCAGAAGAAATGAAGTGTATCTGTCCATCTGCATACATGGATCCAGACATGTGGGCTATAGGGTTACCCTTCTGAGTGGGTAATTTAGACTTCACTTTTGTACACTACATAATTTACTGAACCTTCAAAACATTAAAACTTCCATGTTATGTAAAAGCTCTAGTTTCTGAAAACTTCCTGGTACTACTAAAATGTTTCATGCCATTTACTGAAATTTCACATTTTATTTTTACCATGTAGGGGAAACTCTCAAATCAGAAGATATTGATTCTTCTGTAAGGTTTAAAGTTAAGGCTGACAGAAGCTACAGTGGTAGACACAGCCCTGAAAAAAAGAAGTGCTAATATCTTACTTCCTTGTTCAAAAAATGTTAGGAACATTTGTGAATGTTTAATCCTCATATTTTTTCAAGAAGTGAAGTCAACCAAACCCAAGGCATGAAACTATACCCAGATCTCTTTGTAGCCACTGTTAATATGGATATAAATATTTTTCTTTCATGTCCCTCTGCAAGGAACTCCTCATTTGTCATTGACTCAATTTCAGAAACTTTTTTTCCTTATGGACCTACTATCCAAGAAGAGCAGCTTCAGCACACTATTTTGTGTATTCCTCATTTTTCTTCATGTCTATCAACCCATATTGTCTGTTTATATCACCCCGATTTTGGTTAGTTTTTTCTTTTTTTCTTTCAGCTTTTTTCTTCTACATCAAAGTTACATATTTTGTCATTATAAGATAAACTTTATTAAATAAGACCACTGTGCATGTTCAGCTTCTACCAGGAGACTGAATGGTCTTTTAAAATTCCTTCGCCTACTTTGCAAATTGAAAACATTGAAACAGCCTCTTGAGTAAACTAGGGATTCCTTATTACTGAGAGATTTAATGATTATGATATGCAGATAGGTGTTGCTTTTGCTTTTGTCTCTAAAAATCCTTAATTCTGGATGAGCGAAACTTTGAAAGAGCAGTCTGTATGATAGCAACTGAAACTAAGAGTGGATAGAATAATTTCACAACCAAGTGTGACATCAAGTAAATAATTTATTTCTAATTAGTTTCCTACATTAGAGTTTACTGCTAAAAAGCTAGTAGACTTTGTGATACTTTAGCTAACCCAAAGCACTTGAGATTTTGAGGACCTAAATGGTTAAGTTCAATCAATCTAGTCAATAGAAAGTCAAGATAAAGATGCACACTGTAGTCTCAGGGAGTGCATATGTGTTCGAGAGAGAGGTACTGTTGCTTTTTTTGTTTTTGACTAAATTTTAAAATTCCCAAAAATACTCCAGGAAAATTTAAGAGCAGATTGTTTTACTCTGAAAAACAAGGAGTGAAATATTTCAAGAAGCAGATTCATCATCAACAGGTCAATAATTCATTAAAGGCCCATAAAAAGAATGCTAATAATTTACACATTTTATAGGATCCTTCACTCAGGAGACTTTAACATTTTACAAGCCTGATCTCATTCATCTTTTCAGAACTTTCTCAACTTCTCAGTATTATTATTGCAAAGGGTGATTATTCCTATTACAAAAATATGGCAGAGAGGCTGTTCAAGTTGCCCATGGAAGTATAATTCAGAGGCAGTTTGGGGATAAGAGCTATGAATCCCAATAAAATAAAGAAGCAATACAGATATATTGTACAGCACAGAGAAATATAGCCATTATTTTGTAGTAACTTGAAATGGAGTATAATCTATAAAAACATTGAATCACTATGTTGTACACCTGAAACTAATTTAATATTGTAAATCAACTTTACATCAATCTTAAAGAGCTTTGAATCCTAGATCCTTTCCAATTTATCTAAGAAGCAATTTTCCGTAAAGAGATCAGATTCAAAAGATTTCAATTTAGTGAGTCCTTGTAAAATTTTACCCTCCCTAAGTTAGACTCTATAATTCATGTTCAAGATTTGTGAGAAATTTCATAAATGTCTTTCAATCACTAAGAAAAAGAAAATGTAACATGAAGTGACATCAGTCTGCACAGCTGGTAGTTCTTCCATCCTGTTTGGAAATAAGTCATATTCTTAGTTGGTGTAAATGTCATGTGGGAGGAGACATACAGATTACAGAACCATGAGGTAATTACTACAGCTTAACTGTCCTACAGAGAAGCTATTAAGTGTTCATAAACAGGGTTACAATAGGATACATATTCGATGAGAAGATTTAGCCTGTATTTTCAATGCTTACAGTTCTTTCTTTGGCTTATTTAAGAGAAGAACTACTAGAAATTCCAGAACAGTAAGGATTTGGCTTGTCTGAAGCACAGTGTTTCATTAAGTTTAGTCGGCGTGCAAAGGACCTGAAACAATTGTAAAAATTCAGTGGCCAACCCCCCCAGAATTTTGATTCCCTAGATTTACAGTGGGATCCTGGAATCTGCATTTTATGGCAGCAACTAATTTTAATGCAACTGGTTAGTGGGCTATTCTTTGAGAATAAACAATCACTCTGCCTGATGTAGGAACATAAAAAGGATATGTTCTATCAGCAGGAACAATATTTAAACTGCAAATTTTTACCTAATCAGAATTTACTTTGTATGATTTTGAAAGAGAATTTTTAGATTAGATTTTTTTACTGGGGAGGGGAGAATCTTTGGGTTTCTGAAAGATTTCGTTGGCCTTAAGGTGTTTCTAACTAGTAACTAGATAGGAAATAGTTTGTCCTCTTCAAGTGATTCCTTCCGCTAAATGAGTT